CTGGGCAGGAAAGCAGGCGGGCACGCTGCTGGTGGGATGGGAGCTGGGGGTCCTGGGCTTGGAGACTGCCCGTCCCTCTGGCGGGGCACTGCAGGCTGGGGTTGAGGCTTATCCTTGGGACGCCTCTTCGCCGGGCTGCGAGCTCCTCTCCCTCCTCCCGTTCATCTTTCCCCCTCGCCCCGCTCACCACCAGCACGTTTTCCCAAAGGATTCTTATTTGGTAGCGGTCCGGTGTCTTTGCACAGATGGCAGGGGAGGTGCGAAGGCATAAGGTAGCCACAGGTTGTACGTGGTGTAGAAGGGCAAGCGTAGAGTTTTTTTGCAGAATATAAGATGTTTCTGTTTGCCAAACAGATGTCTGGCAACGCCTGACGTGTTAGGACTAATAAGCATCCTCAGTTTTCCAAGGTTACTGAGTCAGGGGTAAGACAAAGACATAGAAAGTGAGAAGGTAGTTATTCAAAAAACAAAATCTGAACACGTTCCTGTGGTTCAGGCGAGAAGGAGTTTCTATCCTGCTAGCTCCAGTTTTAGTTCTTTAAAGGATTATTTTGGAAGTTAAATCCTCACCCATCTGACTAGTTCTAACTAACTGAATCTACGAAATAGTTCCTGCTCACTCGCAGCATGGCTGTGTATTTGGAGGGGGGGGAAATCTATTCCCTCTAAGTTCTCCTGTCTTGACAGGTTACTGCCCAAAACTTCTCTCCTGTCTGATTCAGTCAGTCTTTAAGCCAGTCCAAGTTTGCTGATCTGCTCTGGTTGTAGGAAGCTGCTGGGGACAGTTCCGAAGTCTTGGATGCTCAGGCAGGCTCAGTGGATGAAGAGAACGGACGGCAGCTTGGAGAGATAGAGCTGCAGTGTGGAATCTGTACGAAGTGGTTCACAGCAGACACGTTTGGCATTGACACTACGTACGTAAGCTCAGGTTCATGCTGGGCATGAAACTTTGGTTAGCAAAAACGGAAGTATTTAGAGTGTAAATTCCTAAGGACCCTGTCCGGGTCCTTGGGCACCTGGAAACCGGTGTGTTATGTGAATAACAAAAGCTTTACCCAACACAGCAGGAAGTGTTCATGTTCGTACATTTCAGCTTTAAAAAAATCTTTGTCCAGACCTCAGGACTGTGAGAGCCACCCTTGGACTTAGTGCCTTAGAGGCCTGTAAACGTTATTTGAAAAGCAGAGAGAATTCAACAGACACTTTCAGTTGGCGAGAACAAAAAACAAAATCTTCCTGTAAGTGAAAAGTAAATTCAGCTTGCTTTCTAGAACCTATGTGGGACTGACCTTAGACTTACTAAAAAACTTAACTTTTGGTTGCATTTTGTCCCTAAAAAGTACTCTAGGCTTCCAATTAAAATTAATTGATTCAGCTGGAGCTCCTTGTCCAGAGCTTCTGTGTTGTTGTCTCTTATTTTGCTGAATGAATTTCAAGACTTCTCTAAAACAAGAAGATGACACTTAGCTTGCTTACACTTTTCTCAAAAGCTTTGTGGCTTTTCTTGATGCGCAGATAAACCTAATTGGATGAAAATATCATTGAACCTGCAAGATGTTTCTGGTTCTGGAGAGAGAGAGAGAATAATTAATTTCTTAACCTGGAATAATTAATTTCTTAACCCAATGTAGTAAAGAATAATTAATTTCTTAACCTGATGTAGCAAGTAAGGTGTACACCAGAACTTACAAATCAGCGTGCTCTTTTCCAGGTCGTGTCTGCCTTTCATGACCAACTACAGTTTCCATTGCAATGTTTGCCATCACAGTGGGAACACATATTTCTTAAGAAAACAAGCAAGTAAGTGTAAAAGCACATTTGTTGAAATTTTGTGCAAGATAACCCTAGAGGCTTCACCTTATCTGAAGTCGGTGGGAAGGTTCTGCTGAAACTCTTCAAAAATGACCAAAAAAAATCCCATATTAGCAACAAGCATGTGCGGCTTTTTCTAAAAATGTTTTGCCAATAAGTTAGTTATTAAGATGGTGAAAATCTTCTGTTTAGCGAGGGCTGCTGAGTTAGGACAGAACTTGTGAGGGTTTTACTGTTACTCAAGCTAGCGTGGCTGGTGTGTGGTTAGTGATCGCTGTGCGCATGGGTGTCTGTTTGATCTTCCCATGAAGTGTAATTCTAGCTCTGGTATATTCTTGTTTTTAAGATCTCAAGGAAATGTGCCTTAGTGCTCTGGCCAACCTAACGTGGCAGTCGAGGACACAAGATGAGCACCCGAAAACTATGTTCTCAAAAGATAAGGTATGGCTGTTACAAAAATCATCACGGATTTACATAAGCTGTGATTTCAGCGAAGAGCAAGTTTGAACAAATACAGGCAGCGAGGCTTTCGGACCCACACTGTTAAGGCTCAAGTTTATTTTATTTTTTTACAGGATATTATCCCATTTATTGATAAATACTGGGAGTGTATGACAACTCGACAGAGACCTGGGAAAATGACTTGGCCTAATAATATTGTCAAAACTATGGTAAGTATTTGGAGTTAAATTCATGGAGGGTTTTCTGCGAATGGTACAGTTGTCTGCTGTCGTGTTCGCTGAGGTCTGGACTTAGAGCTAAATGGTGAAGATTCTGATATTTCTTATGTAGTTGGTGTAAATACTACATATTGATAGTAAATACTACGATTTAAACACCTGTTAATGAACTTGATATGATCTTACCCTGTGTAACTTAAACTTCTCTATTTTAGTGTAAAGAAAGAGATGTATTCTTAGTGAAAGAGCATCCGGACCCAGGGAGTAAAGACCCAGAAGAAGATTACCCCAAATTTGGGCTGCTAGACCAAGTATGTGATTAGAGATGGAAGGAAAGTGTGCCGTGGGGAGCTGGGGGGAAGGAGGGGGGTTCCTTTTTGCCGGTGGCTTATACTCAGTCAAATGAGCAAAACTTAGCCAAGTCACGCTGTGAGCCTGCGTTGTGCCAAGCGATGCGCTGGAGCGCTCCAGCACCTGGAAGTGCTGGGTTCAGGCTTTGAGTGGTAAGTTTGACCGAGTCTATGCATCAGATTTTTTTATCTCTTTCAGGATCTTGCCAATATTGGTCCTGCATATGATAACCAGAAACAGAACAATGCTGTATCCACAAGCGGAAGCTTAAATGGCAAGTTCTTTAATCAGGCGGTTTTTGAATATTTGGGACTAAGCTGTATTTTCCCAGTCCTATAGCTGGGCCTCTGCAGTTACGTCGGTTGAGATGCTGCACTTAAACCTGTCGTGTGAACCGAAGTTATGCTTATTATGTTTGAAACACGTTCAGCCAGTCTTACCATGCCTTTCTATAGAGATAGATTGATTTTTACCTTCCTGTGAAGGTTCAGTGCTTTTCTTCATGGCGGCCAGCTAAATCGAGATGCTTGCAAGAAAGCTGGGCTTGTCGGTTTTCTTCCATAATGGTTTTAATTTACCTACTTGTATTGTTCAGATTTTCTGTTTCACTCACTCTGAGATTGGAAAGTAGTTGGGGAAGGTATATTTTATTCCTTATAATCACTGTTTGCGTTTTCCTGTTGTTCCTTTTTGCGGAATGACAGCTGTGCTAACAGCTTTGCCTAGTTTGTAAGATTACTGTAAGTAATCTCAGCTGTAGTCATATTAATTGCCAATGAGACTTCTTTGTGTGCAAGGCTACACTGTTCTATACTAAAAACATTCAAATAGTACCTAACAGGAGGTGTTTTGGGCTTTTTAAAACAGGGTTATAGATGCCTAAGGCCGCGTTGTCTCCATTTCATGCACTGGTTGTTTCTTATTTAATTTCTGGAAGATTGACAAATATGTGGTGCCACTTCTGTTCTTACAGGTGGAGCCTCTTTGGGAGGTGAATATTTACCTTTCAGCTTCTAAAACTTAAGTATTATTGTTTGCAAAGCTTTTTTGCTCAATTATCTTAGAAGCTAAAGTTAATTAAAAGTCAAAAGCGTGCCCTGATGTGACTGCAATAATAGCTTAATACAAAACAACAATTTCACTTTTTAATCTTTAGCAGTTAGAAGCTTTTCATTATCATATTCTGCCCCACTTGACTGGTTTAAAGTTTTATTTTCACTTATGTTTATTTTTACTTTGTATGATTTGACCTGATATTGTTGTAGTTTTAAATCTTGATGCCTAAATAAGTGGTCTGAATCTGTGAGCTGTTATGATATTGTCATTACTTGTTTGCCTAAACAATCACAAACTGGAGAGCCTAAATGTTTATCTGCACTGAAACTAGCAAGTGCAGTTGAGATTGTGTCATGTCTGTGCAGAATATGGTATTCCTTCAATGGTTTGAATCCCTTGCACCGTAAGGGGAATGCTGATAATTTAAAAGCTGACTATATTTTCAATTACGACACAGTATGCGGTTCATAAAGGTGTTTATCTACAGTACATAAAAAATTCTATAGTTTTCCTTGTAAATCAACAGTGATCTTTTCTGAAATAGTGTAACGATAACATACATATACAATTTAATGTATTAAAATGTTACACTGGTATTAGTGTGATGACATTTGACATGTAGCTTTTCCTATACTATAGTTTTATTTATGAGTAAAAATTGGGTGCTGTGATACGAAATGATACGCTGTTCAATCGTAGTACTGATTTTGGTAATACTGAAGAGAAACACCTCTCTTGCTTTTCATTTTTCCTCAACTTAGGTGTATTTTATTTTCTAGATGGAAATTTAATGTTAAGTGCTTATTGGTGTCAGAGTGTTTCTCCAGCACAGTGTGTCACTGGGATGATGACTTTGCTTAATCTCGGATAGTGTGTGCTGTAGGTTGGGTTTTCTGCTACTTTTGCAGAAATAAATTTGAACTGTGACTGGAATCTCCATGAAAGCAAATAATAATGCTGTTGAAGTGGATCCCAGTGCTGCTGTCTGTAGATCTTTTGATGACAAAAAAGATTCTTAATTCTCACCTTAAAAGCTCGAGCTGAGCTCATTTTGTTGGTAAATCTCACTTAGCTTCCACTCTAAATTTAGACATTTCAAAAGTTGACTAGAAGCTACGTAAAAGCTCTGGATTTTGCTATGCTCATTTTCAATAAAGTCTGTTTCACGTATAACTGTGGAAGAAGGTACTTGAGCTCGTGAACTGATTTTAATTTGGCTGCTTCTGCCCCTTTCTGTTTGTGGAGATTCCATGCTCACGGGCTCTTTCTGACCATCAGCTGCTTAACGTGCCGTGGTTTCTGTGTTAAGGGGGAATTGCTGCAGGAGGCAGTGGGAAGGGACGGGGAGCGAAGCGCAAGCAGCAAGACGGAGGGACCACGGGAACAGCCAAGAAAACCAGAAGGTAAGAGGAAAGATGAAGCGGTGGCACAGTGATGAGCATCTGTAGCGAGGCGTTGTACGCTAGTCAGGGGGACAGCTTTACTGTTCATGCCTGAAGCTGCCTCCCGCCTGTCTCTGTCCTCGGTAGATTTATGGGGGATCGTGCCATAACCCTGTGACGTTATCGATAGGGTTCGATAGGATGTCGATGTTCACATGCTAGAAGTTATTTGAAATAGATGAGTATACGCTCATTTCGCACAGACTCCTGGAAGCAAGCGGTGTGCAGGCCGTGAGCACTGCAGGTACAGCTCTGTGAGAGGTTGTCCTGGGTTGACTTGTGACTGAACCATAGCCACCGTGAGATGCCAACCTGCAGTTTTTGTGTTTCACAGTGACCCGTTGTTTTCCGCTCAGCGCTTACCACCCCACGGTTACCCTTTGGAACACCCCTTTAATAAAGATGGATATCGTTACATCTTGGCTGAGCCTGACCCCCACGCACCTGACCCAGAAAAATTGGAGCTAGACTGTTGGGCAGGAAAGCCTATTCCTGGGGACCTCTACAGAGCCTGCCTGTATGAACGAGTCCTCCTAGCACTGCACGACCGAGGTACAAAGCTTGCTAATCGTATGCAAGTTGTATAGCCAGCTCCTCTTACGAGGGGCCATCTTCTGTAACCTCACGTTACCGGTTATAGAAGTTTCAGACATAATTGCTTTAAGGGGTGCAAATGTTAAATCCACTCCTGTATGTTCACTTGCCTTTTGACATCGCCGCACATCAGAAATCACAAATGAACCGCTTGTGCCATCTTCTCTGATCTACCGCAGCTCCTCAGTTAAAGATTTCTGATGACAGACTGACTGTTATCGGCGAGAAGGGCTATTCAATGGTACGAGCCTCGCATGGAGTGCGGAAAGGAGCGTGGTACTTCGAAATATCCATGGATGAGATGCCTCCAGACACAGCTGCCAGATTAGGCTGGTCACAGCCATTAGGTAAATAATTTTACCAAATATATTTGTTAGCAGTGGGTTCCAGCTGGTTCCTAGATCTCTTTCCCCGGTAATTTAGACCTGAGGAGGGTAAGTCGTGTTCAGCTTGCCCGTTTCTTCACTGCTTTTCTTAAGGGGAAACTCTTCCTGCAGGTGATCTGAACTGTGCGGAACTGCGGTACAGGTGGATCCTTTATGCTGTTGCATGCCTGGCCTTGCTTAACACTGTAGTCGATGCGTTTGTACTAATGGCAGTCGTATTTGTTAACTGAATGTAATTACTCTTCCAAAACTTGAAGTGGGACACACAGAGGTGCTCCTGCTACACTGTGTATGTTCATGAAGAAACGTTGGTTTCCGCAGGGAACCTCCAGGCGCCTCTGGGATATGACAAGTTCAGTTACTCCTGGCGCAGCAAAAAGGGAACAAAGTTTCACCAGTCGATAGGGAAACACTATTCATCTGGCTATGGACAGGGTGATATACTGGGATTTTACATCAGTCTTCCAGAAGATACTGAGACTGCCAAATCACTGCCTGACACTTACAAAGATAAGGTGAGGTGTGGAGTTCACTATCGGATTAAGTGTTGGCTAGGTGGACAAGTGGAAAACAGGTTGCTCTTGCCTCATTTTTGCCCCCTTTGAGTGCGTCCTTTCCATCCTACCTCTGGGTACCACTGTGGTTCATGGCGGAGAGGTCCAAAGCGTTGATCTCAAGACAACAAAATACCCAGAACCACCCGGAGGTTCTGCAAGGGAAGCCTCTGCATGGGCTGCTGAACGAGATTGCCCACATCTCGTTTCATCTTCTCTTCCCCTCCCGGTTCTCAAATATTTGAGATGTGTGGATCACTCTTCAAGGGTACTCTGACACAGCAGGCACGCCTATCCCAGGACAGGGCTCCTGTAGGTCTGCCGTTCTTTAACGTGTCACTAAAGGTAACAGTTTTTCTGGCTTACTTCTGAAGTGGTTGTTTTCTAACATTTCAGGCTTTGATCAAATTCAAAAGCTACTTGTACTTTGAAGAGAAGGACTTTGTGGACAAAGCAGAGAAGAGCCTAAAGCAAGCACCCGGAAGCCAGGTAAGTAAGTTAGGCGTTGGTAGGTGGAGGGTGCGGAACTTCAGGGAGAGTGGAGAGCCTGCTGAGACTGGCTTATTGTATGCATTAATCACTTGCATTTAATGGGCACAAAGGGAGGCCAGTCATCATTAGTTCTTCATCAAAAACAAGAATGCTTTTATTAAAGCAACAATAAATGTGAACTCAGCAAACCAGCTGTGCCCTTTGCTTGTAATGTTATTGCTGTCACTTAAGTAATTGTCTGGCATTGGGTAAAGGGGAGCGTAGGTTAAGCTGCCTCTTGAGGATTGCTTTGTAGTTTAAGGTCATGAAAGTTAGCATCAATGGAAAAAACCTCTTCGTTTTTCTTTTCAGATAATATTCTTCAAGAATGGTGCCAGCCAAGGAATTGCCTTTAAAGACATCTTTGAAGGAGTTTATTTTCCTGCTATTTCTTTGTACAAAGGCTGCACGGTAAGTAACATACCTTTGAAAGATAATTCCTAGGTCCATCGTGGTTTTAGTAATGCATAGAGCGTGGGCACTCTGGGAGCGTGGGCACTCTGGGAGCGTGGGCACTCTGGGAGCGTGGGCACTCTGGGAGCGTGTCAAGCAAGTGAAGAGGAAAGATGGGAATTATTTCAGTGAAGTAACTCTGGAACAATGCTGCTGTTCACTTGTGTGATGTGACTTTATCAAACCGCTGAGCGAACACTCGTTTCATGCCAAGGATGTTCGTTCACGTGGTCTTGCACGGGGTGCGGGTAGGCTCAGGAGCAGGAGGGGATGAGGACTCTGAAGACTAAAGAAACTTGCCGGTTTTTTTGGATCTAACAAAAAATGTGTCTTCCACAGGTTTCTATAAACTTTGGGCCGTATTTCAAGTATCCACCTAGAGATATCACTTATCGTCCGGTAAGTAATAACTGAAGCTTTTTACCCCCCACTCTGTGATAGCCTCACAGTATTTAAACAGAAGGTGGTTGAGACTTTGTTGTGGTGGTAGGAGTTGATTTTTTATCAAGCCTGTATCTGTCCTCTTAAGTCTTTGTACTTGGATAGTGTAGCCAAAAGGATTGTATTTTAAAATATTTAAGGACAGATAGCCTAACAAATAACTTGGCTAAATTTTAACTAAATAGTATATGCTGTCTTGTTCCTCTTGACAGATTATAAAGTCCCTGTTCTTGCCTGTGTTAGCCTCTTTTATCAGTAAGAGGGCTGAATTCTTGTTTAAGGAAACGCTTGGAAATTCCCCCCCCCCCCATGTTTTCAGGAGGGAAACAGACCTGGAATGCTGCTGTACAACAGGGCTAGTCACTTTGTCCTGAGCCTGTGCTTCGTGACTCGAGCTAACTGTCTTCCATGCCCTTTGCAGATGAGTGACATGGGCTGGGGTGCTGTCGTGGAGCACACGCTGGCAGATGTACTGTATCACGTAGAGACAGAAGTTGATGGAAGACGAAGTCCGCCCTGGGAGCCATAAACAAAGCAGGCGGCGCAGCGGTAACAAAAATGACACAGCAGGTATCCAGTCAAGTGGTTTTTTATTATAGAGGAACATGCATCACTCAGAGCAATCAGCCAACGAGCAAACAAGCTGAAGCCAACGCAGCTCTTGATGGCAGGCGTTAATGTATATTCGTTACCTGCTGAAGAGTCATGCCCTACCACTATGCTGGAGTCTAAGTGAATGCAGTTCTGGTATATATTGTATTTGTGGGCATCTCTTGGAGTCTTCAGTAACTCTTACAGTGTAGCTAGCTGAAGAAGCAAGTATTGTGTTGAGGTAACTTCTCATGTGATGTACCTGGGTTGTAACGGTCGTTTGTTCAGTGAGAGCAGGCTGTAGTTGGACCTACCTGCTGTATGTACACTTGCAGAAGCAACGTTGACACTTCTGCTCAACTGTGTTTTGGCTAATTGTAAACAACAGCTTCCAGCCAGAAGGATTGTGTTGTAACAGGACTACTGCATGTAAGACAACTTGGGCTTCTGTCCAAACCATATTTTTTTCCCCCACGAACTGGAAACCAGTTTAAAAATAAAGGCTTTAACTCTTACTTTTGGGTTTGTTTTTTTTTGTCTTGTGACTTGTTACGAATGAGACTTAAACTCAGAGTAGCTGTGCCTTAGAGACCTCTCGAGCTGAAGATCTCCTCCTGCTCACTGCATTGACAAGTTATACAGGGCCTCCTGCCGATGATCATCACTGCAGAGCTTTCAATGAATAAATAATTTGACGCTTTGTGTGTGTCTGTACAGGAAAAATAAATTAGAGCTGCTGCACTGGGGGGAGAAGGGAATAACAGTTTTAGGTAAGTAGGTGAGTGCTGTGTTTGTGTTTTGGGGGAAGGAGGGGAATAACATTTGAGGTCAAGTCCTGCCTTTGAGCATGTGCTGGTCCTCCTGCCTTCCCAGTCAGGTTTCCAGGACCTCCCTACTAACTAATTAGCCAAGGCCTTTAATAGTAGACACCATTAATTAAAGCTTTATTTATTTATTGAAACTAATTGCTTAGGGAAGCTGCAGGGGCCTGACCGGGCCAGCACCTGCTTGTTATGCAAATGCAGGGCCAAAAATTTGAGGGAAGTCCTGCATTTGCTCCACTGGCCCAGTCAGGCCCCTGCGGCCACACTAATGACTTAGTTTCAATAAATAAATAAACCTTTATTTATTTATTGAAACTGTGTGTTAATTAGTGGTGTCTGCTCTTAAGGGCCTTGGCTAATTAGCACAGGCTGCAGTTAAATTGTGCCTGACTTACCCCATTACAAGATTCCCTACTTTCCCCCCCGAACAAAGCATTACACCACCAGTCTGTGCGGTCAGCAGTTCACGGCCACCGTCCGGGCCAGGCGCTCCCGAAGGTGGTTGGCAAAGTCGACCTGCGTCTGGGACAGAACCTGGTTGATGATGGTCTTCGGCAGCCAGCCCTGGAGGGGAGCGGATACAGCCCGTGAGCGGAACTTGCCTCGAATGCAAATCCTGCTTCTACTTGGACGTGTTTGCTGCGGGACTTCACTTACCTTCAGGTCAATGCTGAGAAGCCATATTAGCTTGGTTTGCGAAGGACTGCCGGGCAGCGGGCGCAGGATCATACACGTGGGACCGTTCTCAGCTCTGTAAGAGGACAGGAGTGCACGTGTTAGAAAGCAACGTCTGACTTCGCCTCAAAATTACAGCCGCGCTGAAGCACTTCGCGGTTCCTGCCACCGAGACAAACCTAACGACTCTGAGCCCATACTAAAAGCTGGTGTGTGACTCTGACTCATTAAACACCCTGTAAGTGAACGCAAAAAAGGTGATTACCTTACAAATCCTTCCTGTTCTGGCATAGCCCCGTGTTTTGTGGACATGCCGGCCAGGACGCAGGTGGAGCCACGTCTCTTAGAGCAGCGGACGCTCACGAAGTCCCGTGGTCCGACAATGTTACCGGGGGTAGCGGCTGCCTTCTCGTGGGTGATCACTGTGTCCTTTCCAATCTTCTGGAGAATCTAGACAGTTTAGAATTAAAATGTTAATTTGAGGTATTTACTGCAAACATAGCTAAAAGCTAGCTTTGATTACTGCGTATTCAAATACACGCTCTTACAAAAACTCAGTGCTTATAGTGAGAAAAATTGCAAATATGCTCTTCATCCCAGAATACAGAAGATCTGTTTTCAACACCTGAAAAGGGAAGGTGTTTCTCTTATTCCAGACAAGCTGTGGAATAGCAAAATGCTCTTCCCTGCACGTCGGGGTACCGTGCTATTTCTCCTCCAGTAACAGTACAAATTTAACAACAGAGCTGGCCCGCTACCTCGCGAGGGCATTCCCTACAGAATAAGTAGCACACAGCCCTCCATCCACAGACAAGCTGTTAGAGACTCACTTCTGCTGCAGCAGCAATGTGATTGCTGCAGAACCAGCTCTACGTCTGCAGTAGGGAGCAGACAAGATGAAGTCTGGCTTCTCATTTCCCGAAGAACGTGTGGAGAAATCCCCGTGCTCCTGCTGCAACGGGCAAAGCGATTCTTCGGCCCTTCTGACGCCAGACAAAGCAGGACGCGTGTGGGAACCCCTGGCTGAGACAGGTCTGACACGCGCTTCCTACCTTGACTTCTTTGACGTTGGGATTCCAGTCTCCCATCTGCTCCATGTTGTCCACCAGCTCGCTGTACACTGCGTCCAGGGGCTGGTCCACCACCACCTCCAGTCGGAACACCTTGCCCACGTCCGGGAGCACCTTGCTCTGCACTTTGTCTCCGTTATCCTGGGAGAGGGGAAGGCAGAATTAATATCACAAGTATTTACAGGAAGACCGTGTCATTCTGCTGCAGAGCGGAGCACCTACCACCACCGTCTCTGTCTTCCAGCCGTCCTGGTCCCCGAGGATGCTGAGCGATTTCTGGAGGGCTTCCTCTCCTTGCTTGATGTAAGACATTTCCATCTCGCTGAAGGGCTTCTCCTCCAGCCTTGAGCCTGCACGGGATCGGACAAAAACAGGAGCGAGCGTAAGAACACTGCACAGTTGACTAACGCATCGTAACACCAGATAAGCTTTATCTACATCAAATACATTTCTCCGTGCCCAGGGGTTGGGGAAGTAAACTCAATTCCCACCGCTTGCCTGCCTTCGCTGTTTGTTTAGTAAAAGCACAGGCGACCCACGAGCAGGTTTTCCTCCAACCGCTCTCCCGAGCCCTGACACGCGACGGTCACCACCCAGCAGAAAGGGCCAGACCCCCCCATCTGCCCATCACTTACTGAGCAAGGAGCTTCTTCTGCGAACCTGGTTAATCCACGTGCTGGGTCCCGTGCCACGGCAGGCGAGCTTGCTCAGCTCCTGGCTGATGGCGACAGCGGCTTGTCTTCTCAGACCTGAGAGCAGAGAGCGCGTTACTCACCAGCTGCAGAGGGTTTGCTGGGCTTTGCTCTTTTTTTTTTTGCAATTTAAACATGCAACATTGAAAAAGCCTCTGCTTGCCTCCTTTTACCTGCTACCTTCGCTGAAGCCCCTACAAGCACAGAGAGCAGCTGACTGCCGTTGCACTGCTCTGGGACAGAAGCTGTCCTACACAACCTGGGCTTTGCTCCAGGTCCGAGCCACGCAGCACGCGAGGAGCAGACGACGGTCGTAAAAATACCGAGGAGCAATCATGCGGGTGCCCAGGAAAGGCCATAGGAAATGGAGTACAAGAATACAAAATCCTCACAGCCAGCAGGAGTGTTGCCTATAGCTACCCTCCGCGTTCAGCAATGGCACACAGCCATCCCCCTCGGACCCCAGAAATAGGTCTGGTGGCAAAATAGGTGGTGGAGACAGTAAAACGTGAAACCCAGAAAGCAACAGGGCGTGGGGTGGGGAGAGCATCCCCGGAGACTCCAGCCTCCTCCCGCCCTGTGAGCAATAGGTGGTGGAGACAGTAAAACGTGAAACCCAGAAAGCAACAGGGCGTGGGGTGGGGAGAGCATCCCCGGAGACTCCAGCCTCCTCCCGCCCTGTGAGCCCTGCTGGCGCTGCCCACTGCAGGCA